TCTTTATTGTTTCAAGTGTCCGTAGGTTCGGTGTTTTTTTCGCCTTTTCGCTTTTCACCTTGCATAGTTGTTGGCCGGAGGAGAGCTCCTCGTACGGATGGCGCGAGAAACACTTGGAGCAGGCGAATAATACTTTTGCACTCATTATGTTCGGTGTTCGGGGGCTTTGTTTCGTCTCGGGCTAACTATCTTTTGTGCTGGATCCTATAAAAACTTGTTGTTTCTGCTGCTTTAAATAAAATGGTTCTTTTTGCTAGCGATGGCAATGGAAGCGATAGGCGGCACATCGATATGCAGTTGGGGGACGGAGCTATCGATACCAGATCTGGGTTGCATTTTGAAAGTATATCATTTGTTTTTAATATTGCACGCTTACATAAAGAAGATGTATATTTTTGTTTAATTAATCAAGATCAACAACCAATATTAGGCATGTAAATATAGTAAGCTGTTTATTTGGAGCTTAAAATACAATTTGTTAGTAACATTTTTTATTTAGTTTGTAGAGTTGAAGATAGCATACTTTTAAATTTAAATATAGCCCAGATAAACCAAAAAATCAGTTAAATTCTATAAAACTTCCACCTCAAAACTATTGTTGCAGCCCTGCCGAGACTATCGATCACCGCCAAAGCAACCCTGAATAAACAGTTCAAAATCGAGAACGAGCGCGCAAAAGCAAATTGGATAAAGATGCCCCCAAAGCGCAGGCGCCGATAACTCCGATTCAAACAACAACGATCACTTCAGGCTGTACGAGAAAATTATATGTGCGAGGATATCGAGAAACTGGATAAAATCAGGGATCAAAACCGAAAAAAAGCTAGGAAATCTAGCAAATAACTAGAAAGTGACGGGCAGAGAGCATTAAATACATTCAAAATGCCTTCGGAGCAGCATACGAACATAAAAGTGGCGGTTCGCGTACGGCCCTATAATACCCGGGAATTGGAGCAGAAACAGCGGAGTATTATCAAGGTCATGGACCGATCAGCGCTACTATTCGATCCCGACGAGGAAGACGACGAGTTCTTCTTCCAGGGCACCAAGCAGCAGTACCGCGACATCACCAAGCGGATGAACAAAAAGCTGACCATGGAATTCGACCGGGTCTTCGATATAGACAACACTAACCAGGATCTGTTCGAGGAGTGTACGGCGCCGCTGGTCGACGCGGTGCTAAATGGGTTAGTAAAAGGTCTTTATCATCTTTAAACCACCTTTTAACATAATTTCTTTTATACCCCCAGTTACAACTGCTCGGTTTTTGTTTATGGAGCCACTGGCGCGGGAAAAACTTTCACAATGCTGGGAAGCGAGGCACATCCGGGTCTGACCTTCCTCACTATGCAGGATCTCTTCGATAAGATCCAGGCCCAGAGCGATGTGCGCAAGTTCGATGTGGGTGTATCCTATCTGGAGGTCTACAACGAGCATGTGATGAATCTCCTGACCAAAACGGGTCCATTGAAGCTCCGCGAAGACACCAATGGCGTGGTGGTCAGTGGTCTCTGCCTCACACCCATCTACAGCGCCGAGGAGCTGCTCAGAATGCTGATGCTGGGCAACTCCCATCGCACTCAGCACCCCACAGATGCGAATGCGGAGAGCTCTCGGTCACATGCCATTTTCCAGGTGCACATCCGGATCACGGAACGCAAGACGGACACCAAGAGGACCGTAAAACTATCCATGATAGATCTGGCGGGCAGTGAACGAGCGGCCAGCACCAAGGGCATTGGAGTGCGGTTCAAGGAAGGAGCCAGCATCAACAAGAGCCTACTGGCGTTGGGAAATTGCATCAACAAGCTAGCCGACGGGCTGAAACACATTCCCTATCGCGACTCCAACCTGACACGCATCCTGAAGGACTCGCTGGGCGGCAACTGCCGCACGCTGATGGTGGCCAATGTCTCGATGAGCTCGCTCACCTACGAGGACACCTACAACACCCTTAAGTACGCCAGTCGGGCCAAAAAGATACGCACCACTCTGAAGCAAAATGTCCTGAAGTCCAAGATGCCCACAGAGTTCTATGTTAAGAAGATCGACGAAGTGGTGGCCGAAAACGAGCGACTCAAGGAGCGCAACAAGGCGCTAGAGGCCAAGGCCACTCAGTTGGAGCGCGCCGGCAACAATGGCTTCGATCCGCAGGAGCTTAAGTCGTGGTACAGCAAGATAGACGCTGTATATGCGGCCGCCAGGCAAATGCAAGAGTTTGTCCTTGGCATGCGCAGCAAGATCAAAAACATCAACTACAGGCAAACGCTGAAAAAAGAGCTGGAGGAGTACCGGAAGCTGATGTGCGTGGACCAGCGAGTGTGCCAGGAGGTGAGTTTCGACAGAAATGATGTTTAACATGTATGTATTTAGGTTTATTAAGGCTTTTGAGGCGGGATCAGTCTTGGTCTTAGGTTTAGTCGCCCAGCAGCTCCTTCTGCTTGCTGGCCAGCAGCTTGTCAGCCTCCGAGATGAAGCGATCGGCGATGGCGGTGACCTGAGCCTGGGCGGCAAAGGCATCGTCCTTGCCAAGTTCCGGTTGCTTCTTCAGCTTGCGGATGTGCTCGTTTTGAACGCCACGAATGGCATCACGGTATTTGACAAACAGAGCCTTGGCATTCTTCGACAGATTCTCCCTGTGCTCCTTGGTTACCTTGGGGATAGGTATAAAGAGTGTGGTGCCATCCTGCTGGGGATTCAAGTTCATGCCGCTCTTTTCTATGGCCTTTAGGACATCGGGAATCGTTTGCGGGAAGCCGATCATGTTAACGATTATAGTCTTGGGGTTTTTCCTTGAGATTTGGGCCAGTTCCTGTAGCTCGTGCTCCTGGCCATCGACTTTGATGCGCAGTGTGTCGATGGCACCGCTGGTAGAACGCAGCGACAGGTGCTTCACAAAGTCTTCCCTCATCTGCGCCACGGACTTCTGCATCTGGTTGTTCAGACCATCCAGGTTGAGGATTTCGCGCAGCTGCTGTTCGTTGATTTCCACCTTGCCGGATTTTCCCTTGCCGCCTTTTTCCTTCTTTTTGTCCTTGCCCTTTGCATAATCGCGCGCCACTTGTAGTTTTTCCGCATTTCGGGGATTATTCTGCAGGATTAAAAGCAATCTGGGTGAGGTGTTCGTCACTCTGGTCTGTCGCAACCCAAGGGTGGCTAAATGCATTGCGTTTCGCAGCATTTTATTTAAATTTAAACTATTTTGTTTGGTTTAAGTGCGGCAGTGATTTTCGATTGGGCAGCATCAGCTGTTTTTTGTGACTAGTAAAGAAATTCAAAACGTAAAGGGTGTTTACGTGACGTCAGCCTTACGTTGGCGGGTCTTTTAAAATTATTATTAATAAAATTAAGTGTTTATTTAAAATATTTTATTTAATAATATTTATTTAATCATAAGGGGTTTGAATATTTTATCTTTTCTATAACATTATTGTTTTAACCATAAAGGGTTAATTGCTTCTTAACGTTTATCTACTGGACTACCACATAACTCGAAAATAAAAATATTTGGTAAACAATAAGAAATATTTTAATGTTATTAATTTATTCCCCAGGACTATCGACGCTTTGCGAACTACATGAGCACGCTGACCAGCCAGATGGAGAAGTACAAGGATGAGCTGCCGTCCTGGCTGTCCAAGATGGAGAGTGCCTACCAGGATCTGGAGAGCCTGAAGCGGGAGGTGAACAAGTCGAAGGCTTACCAGATCCTCATCGTATACGTCAAGTACAAGGATCTCGAGCTGCAGCTGACCAAGCAGAGTATATTCAACAACCATGTGAACGCCATCAACAAGGAGCTGGTGGAGAACTTGGATTTGATGCGAAAGTCCTTCCGAGTCGCCTGCGAAGTGCTCAATCAGACGTACGACCGCCTCGAGGATGGACAAAAACTGACGCCGGAAATTGAGGCGGTGTTCGAGCGGTTGCACCGGAAAATGCGGTTCGCTGACTCTGAGGCCAACACCAAAATGGCTGAGATGGATCCGTTGGTGGTGCCTGAATCTCTGCGCAGTGCCCCAGAGGATGAGGAGCCCTCCTGCAGCCTGACGGCCAGTGCCAAAAAGCGGCAAAGGCAGACCGCACAGAGCGACGATGATCTGCATTTGAGTATGGAGGAATTCGATAGCCAGGACACCGAGTCGGATTCCGAAGAGATGCACAGGACCTTTAAGAGGCCGCGCAATCTCAACGAGACACAGGTCCTTGGTCCCTGCAGTAGTAGCGCCCGGAAAGCTCTGACGGCAACGGTGACCAAGCCGCGAAATGTCCACCAGCGACTGGTCAGCGATCTAATATCCGATCAAAATGTGCACGGCGGCAGTGAGAAGATCAAGAAGGGTAGGGTTCTGCTATTTAAATGTGTTGTATAATATTTATAAAACACTTTTGGAGAAGTTTTTATTTTGCAAAACATATTCTTTAAAATATTGAGTATTTTAAATATATAAGCCAGTTTCTATTAGTTCTTTAATGTTTAAGGTAGCTTATATGATGATTGAAGCTATAAGGAAAAAAAATCACTGTATTCACACTCATTACTGTTTTCGTATTGCAGCTCTGCTTAAATCCAATCACTTTACCGCCAAAGGACTTCAGAGAACGCTGGCGGCTGCCTCCTTGGCCAAGGAGAACGTCAAATACAACGCCAACTATGTGCGCAAGAGTCCTCGAGCGCTGATGGCCAAAGGTGTGTTTTACTGCATAAGTTAATTTGATTTATGATATTAATATCCTCGTTTTCTAACAGCCCTTGCAGGCACCTCCACGCTTACGAGAAAACCCTTGGGATCGTCCAGTAAGGAGCCGCCTTTGGTCAAATTCAATCGGGCTGCATCGTTCCGCCTGAAGAAGTAGGACCACACAATCGTTCAGTTAGTTTAAACTTGCGTTTGCCTTGAATAACTGTTTCTTTTTCGAGGTCCATGTTCAAATTAACAATAGCTATAACCATAGATGTTGATAGTACACTAACCCCTCCAAACTTTAGCCCATTTCAGTTCTTTTGACCCATAACTTTAACCTTGAATTTATTTATGTACTTTTTTATATATATATATGTTTTGATAAGTTAAAAGAAAGCCTTGCGTTACGCGCTATATCTAGAAATATACAGCCGTTTCCTTGCCCTCACCCGGATTGTGTCTGTCTCGGTGGTAGAAGATTTGATCGTCTGGCCAGGACTGGGGACTGGCATTTGGATGTAGGGCCAAACGGCTGGTGGTGCCGCTTCTATTAGGAGCAAGTCCCAGGAGTCCCAGCACCATGTAGAGCAAGGCTCCTAGGTTCACACCCAGGAGTAGCATTCCCGGTGCCAGCAGGGGATTCAGAATGGAAAGGATGGCAGCCGGCGGCGAGGGAGCAGCCCATGCAGCCGTAGGAATTCCATCGTAACCGTACTCCACACGTCGCCAGGGCTTCTTATCGCTTGCAGAAGGTCTCTTCAGCTGATCCAGACCCACTTCTGCGGGTAGATCCAAATCCTGCCGCTTGCTCTCGGCCACCGGAGTGTAGCGGGGGACAAAGGCCTGCTCCACCGGCAGCTTTCCCTCAGCCCCCACGGATCCACTCGCGCTGGCCAGACAGGCAATAAAGATAAGCGACAACCACATATCTTCTGTTTGCTATTTCGGGTTTGTTTTTCTCGCTGCCCGACTGCAATCTTATATAGCCACTTGCTTGGTCGCCAAGGGCAAGAACCGTATCGTGTGGGTCTTTTGAGATGTCAACAAGCTGTCATTCCTTGCATTTACAATGGTAATAAATTTTTATTTGTATAGTTAATAGTTATAATAATGCATATAAAAGTGTAACTTAAGGTATCAAAGCTTGTCCGTATTTGAATATGTATTTGATCTGTGATGTTTATCAATTATTTATGGTACTTAACTTGTCACTCTTTAAATTTAACATGATCATATATCGTTATAACAATGCATATAAATGCTGATCTTTAGGTATCAAAAGGTTATTGTCCGTGAACAAGTACATTGAGCAAATATATATATATGTTAAACGTAATCGTTCCGCTCCAGCTTTAAGATAGGTTTTCCCGGTCTAGTTGAGTCGCTGCGCCTTGAGAAGCACCTGGGGCTGCTCAATTTCTGCCTTGGACTGCACCAGCTTCAGTTCCCGTTCGGCTGCCTTCACAGGTCCGTTTCCACCGTTTGGCAGAGCAGCCACCGTGCGTTTGATCACCGCCTGCAAACTGGCAATGGTCTTCTCAAAGACATTGGCTATATCCTTGCTACCATGACTGTGGGCCAGGAAGAGGGAGGCGAAGAGATCCCCGGTGCCGGTGAAGACCAGATCCTTGCCACCCTGCTTCGGGATATCGATGGCAAGACGTGGTCCATTCAGCTGGCTCAGGAAGGCCCGGAGAACTCCCGGCTGACCAAGATCACTGCTGGAGATGACCACTGTCTTGATGCCACGCTGGTGGAACCAATCCATGGCCTCCCAAACGGCTGCCTCGCTGCGCACTTCCTTCTCTGTGAGCAGCTCCACTTCGAACTGGTTTGGCGTGACGATGTCCGCCAGGGGAATGATCTCATCCCGGTACACAGGAAGCAGCTCCTTGGGCACGTATAGCTGGCCATTATCGCCCATCACAGGATCACAGACGTACACCAGACCAGGATTGGCCTCTCGCAGCTTCCTCACAATGTGGCCCACCTGGCGCAGGAACAGGGGATTCCCGATGTAACCGGTCAACAGGTGCGAGTAGAGCGGCAGCAGCTCGTTCTCTTCAAGACCCTCGAAAATGGTGGCTAAAAAAGAAATTAGGGTCAGATATTACAAGAACAATACGTGCTTATGGAAAAAACAACTCCTTTTTATCAATACATATAGATTCTAAAAATTATTTTTAATTTATTGTTTAGAAAGATCAAGATACTTAAAACCTGTTTCTAGTTGTAGAATCTATAAAAGTATAATATGATCACTTTACTGCAATCACTAAAGGTTTTTTGATAACTGGTATATAAGGGGCTTATCGTTAGCCTTTAGTGGAAAGTACTGTTATCATAGAACCCTCTAAACTTTAAATCTGAAATCTAAAAAAAACTAGAAATAGTTGACCTTACCCAATTCCTTTTCGTTGGAGACCGGTCCCTTGAAGGTCTTATAGCCGGTATGATTGGAGAACTGGACTGAGTTTAGGGGGTCCACATCGAAGCCCAGCAACTATTGGTAGAAAATTAATTAGCGAACGTGAGTGGATATTACCGAGAGATATAGGTCAAAATAACAGACCTGCAATGGAAAGGTGGCCACTTTGTTTCCCACATAACCGTGGACCACATGGCTCTGGATGGATAATACCCGCTTGATTCCCGATGACGTTGTCTCTGCCATTTTCTCTGACGATTTCCCTGGAACTTTTCGCGTCGAGTGACCACCGATTAATGAGCGAACGAAGCTACTGGGTCTACAAGTCACACACGCACACAGAGATAACTTATAACCATGTTATCAGCGAAGGAGCGGGTATTCATAGCTTCTCTAGCTGATAACTAATAGCTAATAGCCGAGAAGTACCCTCTCAGGCCGAGATTACTAATGTAATCAGTGAGCGGACTTCGTGTAAACAAAATATAAGAGATTGAACGTCTATAGATTAACGTGTTGTCATTGCCCGGCCTTGGAATGCAATCACCTCCATTACAACACCCCCTTTTATCACCACCCCCATGATGCAGTGTTACCAGGTGGGCATAGAGCCACCACCAGATGTGGTTAACCATCGGTTCAAACTATCGACATGGCCAGAACAGATCTGGATCCGATACTGAATAAAATTGTTTTAAAAAATTACATTCTTAATGTATAACTAAGTTCTACGTGTTTTATAGGTCCTATGTATAAGATATTACATTTTTCCCTTACCCTCCTTCATATTTTATTCAATTTGAAAATTTAATGTTGTTTTGATTTATATAAAATATATCTTTAAGCGGTATTAAAAGTATTCCAACTGTTACTTACTTTTGAATTTGGAAGCTAATGTACTTCCATAATAAAGGCATTATAATACGTTTTGTAAACCTATGACAATATTTACGAAGAAAAAAATGTATATACAGACAAGATACACCATGATACTACGAAAAACATAATTTTCAAACTAGTTTCTTCAAAAAATGGTTTGAGAAACTACATTTTAGTTTATGATATGTGTGTAAAACATGTTTATTTTCTGATTTAAGTGCTATGTACAACATAATAGTAAATTTTTTAAAACAGGAATGACAAAATGATCTACATTCTTCATTGAGGAATTTCTGTAATCTTCCGGACTTAGTCAAACTAATCCGATTATTAAGTTTTTTTTTTTTACTTTATGATCACTGATTACAATTTGGTTTACATTTTATTTTTGGTTGTACAGTTTGGTCGCCAGCTAAAAGTTCAGATGTTGGTAGATCAAAGGTGGCCGTTTACAAAGATCAGAAGTATAAATAGAATGACCGGAATACAAGGTGTATATCGTACAATACAAATACGGCGCAGTACAAAAGGCCTAGACAAAAGGCAGTTAGCATATGGGGAAAAAGGTGGATGTGCTTTATAAGCTTTGGGTTCCCTCCTCCTTCTAGCTCGTTTGCCACTGAAAGTATATAGTGTTAATTAGTAAGGGAGCTTGCGGGAAAAGGATTATTAGAATATTACCCTTAGGTTGGACTGTCCTTGACCCTGGCGGGCGGCCTCCTCTTCCCGGCGCTGCAGTTCCTCCGCTCTTTCTTGCTGTCGCCGAACGCTATCCGGATTTTTAATACCCCTATGTTCATTCTCCTGACGACGCTTTTCCGCCGCATCCAACTGCTGCTGCCGGCGCTCCTCCTGGAAAAATCACACAGGTTTTTCCAAAGTTTTTCTTAAATTTCAAAGGGTTTTTTTGAAAACACCCAAACTTACAGGTGATGGCATTAGGTTAGTTTCCTCGGCACTCTGGCCGCAGCAAGATAGACAGACTCCCATACTGTTTAAATTTATTGAAGTACTATTATTTCTTTAAAATTAAGACTTTTTTATGGTGCTTTGTTAAGATTTTCCGAATAAATAGGGCTTCTTTAGGAATTTTGCGTAGTTTTCGCCCTCTCTTTCACCCTTTGTTTTGCTGTCACAGCTGATTGCTATACAGCGTGCTGTTATGTTAACTTTCTGAGCTGTTAAGCGCAACAGCTGTTCTTTAGTGGCGAGAAAGAAGAAGCATTAGAGAACGCCGAGATCTTTCAAATTGGACCAATAAATTAATATCGTAGCGCCCGTTCTTGTTGTTAGTATCGTCGATTCGGAACAGCGTCAAAGAATCTTGGGGAAACCAATTTAATTACATACAGCTGCGGGTTCCGTGTGGTTTCTCATTCGTTTTTCTCTCGTGTGTTTGTGTGTACCGCAAAAACAACTAAATTAGTGACGCTTAATTGCTAAATTATTCAAGTGACAAATTTACTTTAAAGAAAAAAAGCCTTAAAATGTTGGATGTTCCACATGAAGCTAAGGTGAGTTTTTAAGTTTACAGTTTAAAATGAAGGGGACAAGGAAGAAACTCCCGTTGCCTTCCGCGCTCTCTCTCTTCCTCGTTCCAAGTCTCTCTTGCTGCGCTTGTGTGAGTGCAGCTTGCACATTCCAGCGTATGCAACGCATTTTGCCGGTTCCAGTTGGGCTCTATTTACGGGCCAATTTCCTTAGTTATAATTGCCCTCTTAACTCGTTTTTTGTGCCTTTATTTTTCTTTGCTTTATGTACTGCATTTGCTTAGCGCTAACCTTCAAGTGACCTCAAAGTACGGGCATGTGTCGCCGCCCTCGTCGCTGTGGGTTTATATGTAAGTGTGTGCGTGTGTCTTTTTGGGGAAACCAAAAAAATAAATATTGCTAGTATTTGTTGTCATTTGGTATAATCGTGGAATATATCTGCTGGATTCTTATCACTGGAACATGCCCCTGGAAATGTAGTAGTAGTATTGGCGTACGGCTTGTTTTTGTTTTTGTTTTACTGATAAGCGCCCGCTTCTTCCTCTTCCTCTTGCTCTCCCCCAACATCTACCCATCTCCCTCGCTCTTGCTATTCAGTACCACCGGCTTGTTGTTTCCTCTTGTTCCTTTTGTTTAATTTTTGTTTTGCTCAACACTCATACACACACGCATTTGCTTTTTCATATATGTATATATTTTTTTTTTTTGCTATCACTTGTTGCTGGCTTCACTTCACTTGTCGCCGCGTTTTTCAGTGTCGTTCTGCCGCTGCCGACGTTTACGTCAACGTCACCGCGCCGCTGCCGCCGAGAGTTGGAAAAATTTCGTATTGAAATTCAAATTTCGTTTGGATCCCAGCTTTATTTTCAATTGCACACTCGACCAGCGAGCTTCGTTTTCGTTTCTGCGTCTCTTTCCTCTCACGTTCTTACGTTCTTACCGCGAGTGCAAAGCAAAACACTAGAAAAAGTTAAGATTCCCATAGTGAGATTTTATTATAGGCAGTAGTGCTCCATAGTTCACAATGCCCTCCGGTATCAGACCCATCGATGTTCTACTGGAGCGCGCCGGTGTAAGTTCTCTAGATTCTACCGAGAATCACTTCGTAACGCTATATTTGGGCCAAGTTCAAAGAGTTATTGTTATGGCTCTTTAAACTGTAAAGTCGTTATGTTTTGTGGGCTACATAAAACCCATTAAAATAATCTGTAGTTCATTATCGAATTGAAAAACATAAAAATATCAAAGCTGTCAATAAAAAAAACGTCAGAAATCTGGCAAACACACCTCTGTAAATAACTTCTTATCATGTAACAAATTTAATACGTAAATTCAAAATGTTATCAGTTCATACGACCTACAAATAAAACAAAAAACTTTTGTGTTTTTTTTTGTATTTCCGCCAATCACAGAACTTTAATTGTTTCACCACTTAATCAGCTTTATTTATATATTTCTTAAGAAACCTTTTCACTCAAAACAATACAATTTCGTTTATAAAGGTGTTCTCGCAATCATAGCGAATTTCTTTTCTTGAAACTGAGTTCGTATCTTATCTGGAAAGCAACATCAGACAAGGGCCAAAATCATTTAATTTACGTTAATTACTGGATTCACAGACCGGTTGGTAACTAGGAGTTTAGGACCTCAAGTTGTAAGATCAATATTTGTGGGCTTTAAAGAATTGCATACTTTTTGGGGATAGCGGAAGAGTATTAAGGGTATATGAAATATGAAATTTGGTATGTGGGTGGGATCAAGAAAAATAGGGTTAACTTCAGGTCGATTGTCTTAATATACTTAGCATTTTGTTTTTCCTTTATAATATACTTAAGACTGATATACTCCTATAGTCTAAGAGTACTAGGTACCAAAATATAGACCACTTGCTTGTGTGATCTTTAAGGTCTCCCAGTTATGAGTGTATTATGAAATGCATAAGCCTTTTACCGAAAAAAACGGCGCCAGCAGAAGCATCAATGAAACGTTAGCAAATTATCTTGAGCGTGTTGACCTTGCCGAAGTTCAAACACCTGCCCTCTGACTTTGGCTTATCGTTGGGGCTTGGGGCTCGAATGGCTCATCGGCGGCAAGTGCGGTTGCTTTATAAATAACCCACATGCAATCGTCTGGCATCGTCGTAGGCGCCGTGGGCGTGGCACGTGTTTTTTTCACTCTACCCTCTGCTCATTATACCGCCTTTTGCGTAATGATTTCGAAAAGTAAACAGCAAAATAAAAGCGATTACAGCAATTATTTTGCATAAGTCAATTGCATTGATTGACAAGACATCAAAATGATCCGACCAATAGGTGGCGCTTCTCCTCAATAGATTGTCTTGTGGAGTTTTTCTTGCCTCTTAATGTTTTTGTTTGGGCTTTAGCTTTGTTTACCCCTCATATATTGGGTATGCCATCTGCAAGAGCTAATGACAACCTTCTCTATATGTCAATGTCAAGTCCATACATAAATTGTAAATATTTACCACACCATTATGGCTTTTTTTACGATTGCATATTTCCCAAATCATTATTACCAAGCTAATATTCGATAAGCAGTGGACTTGTTACGAAAGGTCCGAGAAAAGAACTTGATAAGAAGGAAGTTACCAAAGTTGGTTGAACTATATTTCGCCATTCCCAACGATTTTAGCATTATGTTAATGGTCAAATCTAAATTTGATTATCAGACCATGTTTTTGTGCTATTGATATGACTAAAGAAATTACCAGTACATGAATTGAGGAACGCCCAGATTAAACGATTAGATCTCCAAATAGTACAGCAATGATGAGTTCGTTTAATTCCCTAAGATTAGTTATCAGGCTGGGTGATAATAAGGGGCGCTAGTTGACAAACTTGCGATTTAGCAAATTATTGCACAACTTGCCAGAGCAGTTGCATTTTTAGAGGTCGTTTCATGGGACATTACGCTGGGATTCTAATCCCGGATGGCTGAGGCTTATCTCTGTAATCATCCTTGACCAAATCGGAATGTCGAACTCATCATTAAGCGGTTAAATAGTCGGTCCACTGATGATGATCAGTGGAAATTTATTCAGCCTAATTTGAATACGTAATAACGTTTAAAAATAAACGTTATTATTCCTACGCAGTTCTGATGTAAGCATTTTGGTTATGAAATAATTATTATTTCAAAGATGATATCTTTATTTTATTTTCCAAGCAAAAACAACCTTCATTTCAACAAACAAATATTTTAAACATTTTTTTTTAAGAAAAAGAAGGATTCAGAATACACAAAATCATCTTTCTTACCGTGATTTAAAAACTATCATAATTGTTTTCGAATAGTTTCTTTGGTATCAAAACATAACTCAACTCTCTCAACCCTTAACCAAGAAAAAATAAAAAAATATTTCCGATTACATTATTTAATGAAAGTTAAAGTGTTGTCAATCAAAACTTCCTGTAGTGGCATTCTTGGGGCACTCCTCATGATATTTCGCTTCACAGCTAGCACTATGATTTTTGAAATCTTGAAGACTGGGCAAATACTTGAAGAATATTTTCTTGTTGAAATAGCTATCGGTTTCATCGGGTTCCTCAGGTTCTCCAGCCAGTCGTTTCTTCAGCGATTCCTGCATACCCCAAATTATGGGTTTACTTTTGCACATAAGAAGCTTAAAACAGCCAGCCTTCTTTCCCTCATCTGGTTTCTCCTTGGACTCGATCATATCAACGATGTGTTCGGCGAGGTCACGATCCATAATATCCCTGATCAGTCGTTTGCTATGCCTATCGGAACGCTGCATAAACCAATCGATGGGCGAGCCCATGGAAAGGGATCTTGGGCGTTGGTCACTGGGTTCATACAGGGATTCCGAGGCATCAATCTTTGATCCTCCGCGAGTCATTTGCATCAGGGAACTTCCAATCTTAAGAAAATACCTTTAGGTTAGAGTAGAAAAATGAAAAAGTTTTAAACTTACCGCCTGGGCTATCATAATCAAGGCATTCAGGGCTAGTGCTCCTATTCTGCGGGTATCAAATCCCACCATCCTCAGCATATTGGTGAACATATCTGCGGAATTAAAGGATAATGGAGGTGGTTTTCGCGTGCTGCTGCCCTCCCCCGGTGGCTCCTCTTGGGCATTTTCTGTATCCGACTCCTGCTCCGATTGATCCTCTTCCGGTTCCTCTTCATTCGGTGGCCCTTTTAGTCTTTTCTGCACGTAGCTTACCAAGTTGGGAACATTTGTCATAGATTGGCCGGAGAAGGCCTTGGCCACCAAATTGGCCACATCGGCGGCTGTGTTAATGCCAAACATTTGTCCAGCCATTTTTAGGCCATCGTTAAAGTTATCCATCACACCCGTGGAGACCTCTTGGCCACCCAAATAGAGTAGCAAACTCAATAGCAGCCAGCGACTTGTCATCACCAGGCTTGGGGGAAAACTGTCGCCGATTCAGAGTGATTTTGGTCTTTGGTAACGCCCTCGTCTGTGTGGCAGCCCAAGCTTGTAATTGGACTTACGACAGCTCCAGTCGAAGCAACAATTTTGTCAGCGTTTCCTCCACTAATTTTGTCACTTGAGTGCATCTGCCGGATGCGCTTTGCTAGCCACACTAATCGCTGCGGCTCGAAAGTTTCTACAAGTGTAACTTATGGTTTTGATTTGATTTTTTTACAGGTGCGCGGCCACTCGCGAGCACCCTCCGACTCAAAGGAGTTCCACGAGGTGACCAAACGGGATGCCCTGAGGCTGCTGGAGCACGATGTGGACCGTCTGCTGGAGACCACGGAGAAGGCCCGCCAGCCTGCCCTCAAGGCGGAAATGGAACGTTTCGCCGATCTGTTTGGACGTTTCATTCAGGAAGGTTGGTCCCTTTGAATTACTCCTTATATGTATGGTCTAAAATATAGTTCTCCATTTTTTAGAGGGTCCCGCTTTGGACTGGAACAAGATCCAGAAGCTTCCGGAAAATGCCGTGGAGAACTACTCGAATCTTAAGGCGCCCAAGAACGAGCAGGTATGCAGAGGGCCTGTCTTTACACCCCCCCCAGTTATCCCGCCAAAGAGTCACAACTCGATACCGAAAACCATAAAAACCGAACCGAACTCATCCTGATGATATTACAACTCTCTTAATTTGTTTTACCAACTTTACATATTTTCATGTTCTTTGATTTGAATACTGAATATCTGAATATGGCTATGTCTGCCTATAAATACTATGCATTATCGTGTGTATCGCACCTAGAATGAGGTAAAAGCGTTTTCCCTTACCTAAACTTCTACGCATCACGGCTCTCACTCACTCAATGTCTCTGCCGCTCTTGCTCTGTTTTTCTAGAAAAAATAATGAAGAAAACACGGCTCGAATCTAACCTAATTGGGCTTTGGACGCTTTGTTTAGATTTTGGACCTAGTTTTGTTAGTAGTTTTGCTTTAGTTTGTAGTCACACTGCGCTGTAGTACTAAACCTAAATGAAATTCGGCTATCACTGCAGCATAACCCAAACCTCTGCTCTTTAACACACCATCCTAATGATATTCAATGCTTAAGGACTTGTAATAATCATTTCGATTTGCATTTAGATCCGCAACATGCTGGACAAGTTGGTGGTCATCAAGCTGAACGGTGGTCTGGGCACCTCGATGGGTTGCCATGGTCCCAAAAGTGTGATTCCCGTGCGTTCGGATCTGACCTTCCTGGATCTGACTGTACAGCAGATCGAGCATCTGAACAAGACTTACGATGCCAATGTGCCGCTGGTGCTTATGAACTCTTTCAATACCGATGAGGATACAGAGAAGATTGTGCGCAAGTACAAGGGTTTCCGGGTGCAGATCCACACCTTCAACCAGAGCTGCTTCCCGCGCATCAGTCGCGAGCACTATCTGCCGGTGGCCAAGGACTTTGAGATCGAAAAGGATATGGAGGCGTGAGTTTCTTCAAATGTCCTGTAATAATGATCTGTATTTTAAGTATATATGTTTTGTAATATTTTAGTTGGTACCCACCTGGTCACGGTGACTTCTACGACACCTTCCGCAACTCTGGTCTGCTGAAGAAGTTCATCGAGGAGGGCCGCGAGTACTGCTTCTTGTCCAACATCGATAACCTGGGCGCCACTGTGGATTTGAACATTCTCAACAAACTGGTGGGCGAGGAAAGGGCCAAAACTCCCGTGGAGTTTGTCATGGAGGTCACCGACAAGACCCGTGCTGATGTTAAGGTGAGCTATTGTTTAATATACTATAGAAAATGTGTATAATAATATAATTTTTCCTTCTCCCAGGGTGGTACTCTCATTCAAATGGAGAACAAGCTGCGCCTGCTGGAAATCGCCCAGGTGCCCCCAGAGCATGTGGATGACTTCAAGTCGGTAAAGACCTTCAAGTTCTTCAACACCAATAACATTTGGGCCAACCTGGCAGGTGGGTTAGTTAAAAAAATGGTTACAAAACAGAACCTAAAGTGCTACTTTGATATCAATTTCCCTAGCAATTGATCGCGTTCTGCGTGAGCGCACCTTAAACATGGAGATCATCGTGAACAACAAGACGCTGGAGAATGGAACGCGTGTCATTCAGCTGGAGACTGCTGTGGGTGCGGCCATGAAGTGCTTCGATGGCGCCATCGGCATCAATGTGCCCCGCTCCCGTTTCTTGCCCGTGAAGAAGTCGTCCGATCTGCTGCTGGTCATGTCGAATTTGTACACCCTGAAGAACGGCAGCCTGGTGATGTCGCCACAGCGCATGTTCCCCACCACGCCGCTGGTCAAGCTGGGAGAGAACCATTTCTCCAAGGTAAAGGAGTTCCTGGGCCGTTTCGCCAACATCCCGGACATCATTGAGCTGGATCACTTGACCGTGAGCGGTGATGTCACCTTCGGTCGTGGTGTTTCCTTGCGCGTGAGTTTCAATTGTCTTTGGATTTCTTCTTTCAAATGCTAATTTTTTACTCTAATTTTCATAGGGCACTGTCATCATCATTGCCAACCATGGCGACCGTATCGATATCCCTGCCGGTGCCATTCTGGAGAACAAGATCGTATCCGGCAACATGCGCATCTTGGACCACTAAATCAAATCCACTGCAAATGGATGTCGTCTCACTAACTGTAGCCTAATTTTCTAAGTTCTATGTAGTAGCCATGTTCGCGTTCCAAATTTCTAATTACGAATTTCATTTAGCCAATTGTTGTAAGCACAAAGTGTGTCATCTGTATATATCGTTAAGTAGAAGCCAGTCATGGTTTTTTTTAAAATCAAAAACGAATCGCAATATGTTTTCAAAAAAGTTAGTCGTAGTCGTTCGAATGAGATATAAAGAAAATAGCAGCTGTTGAAACTCAATAAAGGCATGTTTATTTCTATAAATACAAAGGAGATTGTGACGTATTTCATATGAGATATTTTCGTTGACATAAACTAGTTCTTAAATTAATATCACTTTGAAAGATGGCACAGGAATGGCACTGGTATTGCTTCATTCCCCCTGCTTCCAGTTTTCTAAGACTTTTCTGAGTCGTCAATTAAAATATAATCCTTGCTAATGTGACCCAGTTTGATGCCCTGTTGTATTAGGTCCAAGGCTAGCTTTTTATTGCTACTCGGAGGACCCACAAAGGCCACTACTAGTTCTTTTGGATCCTGCCCATCTCCATCTTTTGAGGCCTCACAGCTGTGATTCCAGCCCCTGCCCTCGTAGATGTGCCCATCTCCGGCCGCCACGAAATTATAGTTAATGTCCTTATATCCAATACTCTCGATATGGAAACTTTGCAACAGGCGCACTCGGAAAACGCATTCGGCTTGAGTGGAACAAGATTTAGTATTGGTAGACACGAATCTCACGCTCTGAATGGGAAGTTCTTGTAGGGTGAGTGGTACTGTTGGAGGTTGGGCTAGCCAATAAGGCCTAGTCACAAACTTCAAGGTAGCATTGCTAAGGAGGCGCACTGTAAAGGATTCAAAAATAAGTATATTTGTTTTTTTTCTCTTCTTTAGATTTCCTTACGTGATGTTGCATCTGGCGCAAAACGCGGCCACTTCTTCATGAGTTCGAATAGTTTCTGGCCAGGACTTTCGGTGGGACTAACTTGACGGTGGGCATAAATATGATAATCTGGATGCAGTCTATGGAGTCGTACACCCTCATCCATTAATCTCTTGGCAGCTTCAATTTGTCGAGTCGATGGTTCCACATTCACAAAAGTCCCGATGAAGGCAATACTGACAGATATGGCACCGTATCCACTGACATGCTGACCCTGAATGTGCCAGCCGCGTCCCACGTAGACTTGACCATCGCCTCCCACCAGGAAGTTGTAGCCAATGTCCACCCAGCCCAGGGATTTCATATGGTATGCCTGAATAATCTGCATCCGGTATATGCAAACATCCTGGGAAAAAGTAGAGTTACGATAGTATAGTTGAAGGTCTCGACATCTTAACACTTATTTCGTTTTGTAAGTTGACTAATATTTGCTAAAACACTTTAAAAAGTGTACAATTAGTTCAAGATAGAGCGGAAGAAAGGGGGTTTTTCCGAAAAATATGACGGCTTGTGGCTTACTTGGGAATTTTTTAATAAGCTTTGTGGGTTTTATGATAGGGGGTTCACCAAAACATTTCGGGTTCCAATAAAAAATGTGCTACTTTTTTCCAAAGAAATCGATTTTAAGATGATAATCATTATTTAGAAGGTAAACGTCGAAAAATACTTAAAGTTCAAAAAACCAAAGCTACCATTTGAAATGTTAGCAATTTGATGACGCAATTTTTGTGATATATGTAAGTATTCTGGTCATTGACGGATGCAGTATTTGGTTGTAAGGGGATTTAAAAAAATGTTTTGAGTTGAAATCATAAATTTGGAATAAAATACATATTACAAATACTTTGTATCCCGAGTGGGGGGAGGGGGTCTATCCCCAATATCCCCCTGCATCTATATCTTACTTTTAACTTTTGATGTTAAGATTTAGGATTTTAACTAAATGTAGGTTAAATATTTTAAATTTTCGAGATTTCGAATCTACTATTCATGTACCATAGGACTAGAAAAATAGACTCACCTCTTGTTCGCATCCTTCTGTTGCCGTATGGTGAATGATCACGTTGGAGACGGGCAGCTTAAGATGTGGGTACTTTCCACTCGGTGGTTCCCCCTGCCATTCACTGCGATCGAGTATGTGCAGGCCTTTGTTCGGAGAACTCGTGGAGTGGGCTAAACCAGGTTAACAATTGAAATGCCAATTAAATTTCAATTCATGTTTGATCTGCTTAGGTAACTTACTCATCGCCCAAAAGCAATAGCCGGCTACCAGAGCCACAAGCATCAGAAGAATTGTACAGAGATAGAGAAGCTCGCGGGGAAATCTTTTTACAGCAGTATCTGGCTCTTCTGGAAGAGCAATTGCCACGGTTTTCTGCATCTTGAGATATGTTGGTTGAACCCCACCACAACGATCGTTCCTCTCCAGACGAATGTCCGATCCCAACTGAACTGAGCCCGACCCATTAGCAAGTTGGTTGATTGTTGTTTACTTCTGTTGACGGCTGCAAAAAATCCCCGACACTCAAAACTGCGCAGCGGCTGCGCAGTTCGCAAGCTTGTTGATAAGGCGTAAGTGTACTATATATATTGCAAAAGCTTCCAAGCTTTATACATGGTGCCATTTTTCGCAACAGGGTGAGTGATCTCTAAACGCCGCCCCCTTGAGATTAGAGAGAGATCTTAGATTGGAGTGAAGAGTCCAAGAAATGGGAACCCCCGTTTGTCCAGGGGGCGTTACTAGCTCTTTGATCTCTCTGGCAGTTTTGAAAGACGGTAGCTCATCTTCACATCTTTGGGTCCAACTCATTTTGCTTTCTGTTTTCTTGGAACCAATGTCCGCTGGGTCGAAAAAAAGCGATTACAATTATCAGATACATTTTGACCTTCTGACACAAATAGAATTCTTCACGATTTTTGCTCACCTTTATGTGGTGTTAAATTCTTTCCTAACAAGTCGGTTGTTCCTAGCATTTAATCTAATATTTTTGGATCTATAACCTCTCTAACTTTATTATTTCCTTTGGTACTACTACTACAAATTTGCTAATAATTGGTTTTTTAATAGCGGATATACTTTGCAAAATGACAAATGAAAAAAATGCTTTTCTATTGTTTTCAGTTTTTAAAGAAGTCGTATTAGTCTAAGTGCCTGATAATAGTTGACCAACGGGGCCACTGCTTCATTAAATCATATAGTTTTTGGCCAGGACTTTCGGTGGGCTCAAATTGACGCTGGCCGTATATGTTATAATCCTGACGCAACTTTTTTCGACGGACTCCTTCCTCCATCAACCGCTTGACTGCCTTAACCTGTCGCTCTCGAGGCTCCACATTTGAGAAAGTTCCAATAAAGGCAATGCTAATGGATACAGATTCATAGCCCCTCAGTGGTTGAGCCCGTACATCCCAGCCACGCCCCTCATAGATCTCTCCATCGCCGCCCACCAGAAAATTCGGACCTATATTATGCCATTCCCGGTCTCTCATGTGGAAATCCTGAACCATCTGCATGCGGTGTATGCAAGCATCCTAGGGATAGTAAATAAGAATGTGATTGTCTATTTACATGTATCTATTTACATTACCTTTGTTTCGCACTGCTCAGTGGCTGTGTGATAAATAATAACGTTTTGGGCTGGCAGATTAAGAAAGTCCTTTTCAGTGGGTTCCTCAGCTCCCCACTCATCGCGCTCGATTATACGCAGATCATTTCGGTGACCTGAACTTAACTGATGAGTATTTATGATCTTCAATTTATTCACACTCACTTCTCATCCAAATGTAGTAACCCATTGGTAGGGTTAAGAACAAAATGAGGAAAATGGCAAAGTACAACCTGTTGGCGTTGACTCTCTTTTTCCCATTTCCTTCAAGATCGTTTAACTCGGGGTTTGCCATTTTGTAGAATTATCGGCAGTAGCCCAGTCAAAACAACAGCTGAATGAGCACTGAGGAATAAGTCAGGCACACAAAACAAATATATATTTACCTTGCAAAAAAGCTTTGAGTGTCTTTATCTGCAATATTTCTTGAACAACATTATTTTTGTTTGTTTCAAATTATATTATACATGTATTTATAAAAAATGCATTATCAACACAAACAATATTTGTAAACATACTCTATTGCATTGGTGTAAAAGTGCGTGTGAATAAAGAGTTTACGACAGCTATAGTACTTGAACATATATATAAATACCTATATATTTTTAATCACTGTTTAATAATGAGCATCAATAGCAGCATTTATATATGTATCTGTAAAAACCTGTTTCAACCCATTCGTAATCTAACATTAACTAAGGGCAGGGCATTTTTATTGTTTTTTTGTTTTATTTTAAGGGACTAAATAAGAATTTATTAAAATTTATATTTTAGAAAAAATAGAACAGAAGACATTTTTTAAAAGTACATCTTGAATTTTAAGGTTTTTATTGAACTTTTGGGAATACATATATCAAAACGTGCTGACCGCAAAAATGTAGATGTTTTTGTTTAATCATTGAAGCATTTGCGTAATGGAGTTATCATTTTTCTTGCGTGTGCATTTTTAAATAATATCATATCAAATATATCAAACCATCCTTTGCGATGAAGATAAACTTATTTACTATGTCTACAGTAAAAGTGTTCTTTATATGGTGCTATCACACATTGTAAACGAGCCGCAACAAATAAGATAAACAGGTAAAATTAAAAACGGGGAATTCCCTGATATCTCTTTCAACGAAAGGGAAGACCAAGTTGGCTCGGCATTTTACAGTCCACAGCATCCAAGAAAAATCCCCCATTCCAGTTATCAGCTAGATTTTAACCCCCTGACATGATTGAAATACATCAAGTTAATCACTTTGCTTTATTTAATATCACATTTTTTCAAACAAATCGTAATTCTAGCTAAATCAAATATGCCACACATTAATGGGAGAACACCTATGCTACAATATCAATACGAAAATGAATGATAACATTCTTATATCGGAGATGCGCATATCTTAAACTATTATTCACGACCAATGAGTCCAGTTGCCAAAGCTTTGGTAGAGGGCATCCGCCTTATATTGGGTAAGAGTTGGCTCCAATTTACTGGCCGCTGTAAATCGGTAGTTGGGATCGATCTTCCCCAGCTTAACGCCGCGTTCCAGTAAAAGACGTGTGACGCTGAGCTGCTTGGCCGACGGCTTGATGGTCTGGAAAGATCCGATATAGGCGAAACTAAGACTCTTCGAGTTATAGCCGGCCATGTGGGCGCCCACTTGGTCCCATCCACGTCCCACGTAAACGTTGCCATCGCCGCCGATCAGGAAATTGAAGACTATATCATCCTCCTGCACCGACTCTATATCGAAGGACTGACGCAATCGTACTCGAAACACACACTGCGCCTGGGTGGTACAGTCATCGGAATTGGTGGGCAGGACTATGACCAATTTAACGGGCTTTTCCAGATCCGGAATCTTCTTCTGCGGCGGCTGGGCTAGCCATTGCTGACGCTCCACAAAGCGCAGTATTAATCCTCCACCAATATTGTCCAGACCTGTCGATTATTCAGGGTTAAATTCAGTTTGCAAATAATATTTGTAACATATAAACACCAATTTTTAGTTTTAGTTAGTAAATTTAAGCGGCTTATCTTTTATAAAATAATGAAAAATTTAAAACACCACTTGTATAGGAGTGTTAGTAACCAATACCAAATTAATTTTATTATTTAATCCATTTCTTATATTCTTAGAAACCCTTTTTTGTGAATAAATTAGATTGTCCTTTAAACATGCATATTATATGACCATTTCCTCAAATGGTGAGTTTATGTTGATGGAGAAATCAAAAACTGTCAGACGATAATTTACTAATTTGCTGAATAAATAATCTTTCAATAAGTTTTTGTTTGGCACCTTTATTCGATCTTAAATTAATAATTTAATAATTTAAATCTACTGAATCATATGCAGGTCGGGCCAAGTCTTTGTCAGATTGTACCAGTGTGGCCAGGTTTGAATGATCCTATAGAGCTCCTCAGCGGGCATTAGAGTTCCCGTTATTTGCCGATGTCCCAGGAGTTGGTAATCGGGCTTTAGTTTCTTTAGGCGAACACCTTGTTCCAAAAGCAACTGACAGGCCTCCAAAGATTTCGGCGTTGGCTCTTTCCGTCGGAAGCTTCCAATAAAGCTAATACCGATGCTGCTATCGTTGTTGTCCCTCGTATGCGCTCCTACGTAGTTCCAGCCCCGCCCCTCGTAAACGCGACCATCTCCGCCCACCATAAAATTATATCCTATTTGACCCCAGTTAAATGAGTCCATGTGCTTGCTCTGCGTCACGCGGACCCAATAAGAGCAGGATTCCTAAATAAGAAACGGGTTCTTAAGGTGATTGAAAATATTGGATATACAACATATGTAATTACCCTCGTCTCACATGTTTCGGTTGCAGTATCGGATATTATTACCCTGGAGACCGGAAGATTCAGGGGCTCTAGCGTTCCCCTAGTGACCAAACCGCCCCAGCTCTTTATACCGATCACAACTAGTTTTTCGTCGACATGGACATCGGAATCATCAACTGGTTCAAAAAGAGCATCTGTGTTAGTAAGCCTTTAATAGTTTTAGGAAAGGCCGAATGCAAACCATTTCGAAAACAAAATATTACCTTTAAAAATGTATGACTAAATTCAAATATACCTATATGAAACTAAAAAACACTATGTGAATAATACTGATATATCCAAAACTCAAGAGATTGGACTCAAAAAATGTTCGAAAAAAATGATATTTCAAAACATTAATCCAAAAGTTTTAATTAAATTACTAATTACTTTACAGATTTTCTGAAAAGTTTGCATTCTTTCCTTTAAATATATTCATACATACATCCCTGGATCGCTATACAATACTTATAACGATCTGTTTTATATTCCATTCAACTCAACGACTTCCTTTTTTTAATTTTCATGAGGGGGGTTTGGGGGAATGAGATCGAATAAAGTGCATCTGCTTATCATATTTCTACAGACTCTATTTACTTGTTATATATATAATACATGACTTATTAGATTTCATGTGACCAATGCGGCCACGTCTGGATGATCTTGTAGAGCTCCTCTCCGGGACTTTCGGTGGCGCTGAGTTGCCGATGGCCATAGAGCCGATATTTGGGTGTTAACTTCTTAAGTCGAACACCCTCTTCCAAGAGCATTTGACACGCCTTCAACTGCCGCTCGTTGGGCCTCTGCTTCGTGAAGGTTCCTATAAAGGATACCCCAATCGTTCCTGTATTATAACCCTTGGTATGGGCGCCCACATATCCCCAGCCACGTCCCTCGTACACACGTCCATCGCCGCCAACCAGAAAGTTGTAGCCAATATGATCCCAGTCCCAGCTGTCCATGTGAAAAGACTGGACGACATTCACCCGTGCTGAGCAGACCTCCTTCGATGGGGAGTGAATGGATGTTGACATAAGTAATGAGTGTTACGAATGATCGGGACGTGGAATATAGTATTTACTCACCCTCGACTCGCAACCCTCGGCGGCAGTGTGCGAGATGACAACCCTATCGACTGGCAAATTCTGCGTAGCGAGCTTATTCTTCGCAGGTCTTCCGCCCCATTGGGCCACCGTAACGATGACTAAGGTGCTATTATCGATCACATCCAAGTCGGCTGAATGGAGAGTTTTGGTTTTAGCAAATGTGCCAAGGCGCCCAAAACAATAGTAGTGATCACTCGAATATACAGTTATTCAATCGCCAATCCAAAGTTTTAAGATCTTATCAAACAAAGTTCTTAGTGAATACTTTTATAGCAATTGCGTAGGCATCTTTAATTTTTTTCCACTTTATCATGTTTGCTTTTATACTGGAAGTTTTCGGAATAGGATAAAAAATACTAAAAAGTAACCTCTCGGATCTTTCAAAAGATTTCCTGGTTGTTTTAAAATTTGATCAAACTACCATTGTTTTGGAGCAAATGTATAGGTGATACACGAGATCGATTCACTGGTATATTCCATTCAATTGAACTTTAGGCCACACTCTTGATTTATGATTCACTTCACAACACTGATCAACATGTATCAGAAACGCGCAATTCGAGCAGCAAGATACATAAAAACACACAGCTTCGAATGAGTTATTATATACAAGATGATATTAGTATGGGTTATTCACATGCTGTTTGGGTTGGTGAGTTAGGATTTGGTTAGAACACAGTTGCCAATTCGATTTTTGATTAGTCGGAAGCTCTTTCGCACATATTGTGGGGGACAAAACTGTACCTATTGTTGAATTGATTGGAATATTTGGTCTGGAATCGTCGACATCGCTGTGCTTACTTTGGTTCAACGACTTGCCGAAGAGGTTTGTGGTGGTGGCCAGTACGATGCCTAGCAAGATGGTTAAAAGGACAAAAACCACCGTTATTGTGACAGCCTTGCGACCTATTGTGTTGGGCAGAAAGGGGCAGAGGGGGGGTGGCTGCGCCGGGTCATCCAGCTTGGAACCTGCAAAAGGGTCGTGAAAATGTGGGTTAGTGAAAGGTGGTAGAGGAACAAGAGGTTATATTTTTAAAAAACTATCAGGAAAAGAAATCTTAAATGAGGCACCAAAAAATGTTTTTAAAAATCTTTGAAAAAAGGTTTATATATATTTTTTACTTAATATTTTTTTTACACGGTGTTAAGAGTAGGTTCTACTAAATTGTAAATTATTTTTTATATATTAGCATGGATAAAAGCCAAACCAATTAAGAAATTGACCTATACTTGACATCTTACGCATTTCTAGGCCCTGCTCTAGGATCTCCAATCGCTTTTCATGTTCTCTCAAGGAGTTCTCCAAACACTGTATTAATTTTGCTCCAGTTATCATCTTGCCCAGACAGATGTCGCACTTCCACCTCAAATTGGGTACCTTATCCAGTACTTTAAGCTGGTCCTCACTTAATTCCGAGCATTTACGATGACAGAACCGCCCACATAACCCATTATCACACTGGATAAGACCAGGGCTATCCACGATCATCTCGTGACACTTTAGGCAAAATTTAAGCGCGTTCCTCGACATTGCACGATCGCTCCATATGAACAACTGAAGTCGATCAGTGGGTACTTTTCCCGATCCGTGCGTATGCCTGTTTAATTCTTGTTTTTTTACTTTTCATTTAGCAAGTATTTAAGGCATACAAAAGCACAATGCAAAAAATCCCCCACTCTAAAGAGGCACTCGGGTATTTATTGTCAGATCCAGGGGGATCACCTGTCTATATAAAACGAGTGTACCTAACTGCAGCTAACTAAATTTACACTCACTTGCCTGGTTAAACTTTGGCTTTCATTTCTTACTGGCGCTTTAATTATGGTAATTGTGAAAACCAATGAAGTAAACAATGGCATGTCGGCAGCTGCTTTTGTTTTTTCAAGTATTTATCGCAAGTTTACACCGTTTTGATTTACGGCTTAAGGGACCTTGGATCGGCAGAGATATTTTTGTTTTCGTGAATGAAATTGTGTTTTTATTTTGTTCCATAAATAGATCAGAATCATAAAGGCTTAACATTTAAGAGCAGGCTGAATAAATTTCTTATAAAACATGTCTTTCAGGGATTCCCAATTCTTTTCGAGCAATAACTATCCTCATGAATATAAGGCCGCACCTGTGTTTTATGGGAGACCAATTTTGGATCGTGATTTTCCATACAAACTAATGAATTTTAATAAGCTTCAAGTCAAAAAAAAAATATTCGTTTTAAATTTTCTTTATAAAATTGTACAACCAAGTACATATTTAACATTGTAAGTAAATCAGTTACATACTTTGTGGGTAGGATTTTCTGAATAATTCAAATTCAATTCCTTTTAATATGTATTATCTTGAAAATTTTTCTAAATTAAATTCTTATGTGGCCTTGAGCAATTAAATGCATTTATGTTGTTATTCTAGTACAATGTGCGAATTGTTCTATGCGTATCTCATGAGTTTTGGAGCTTTGTGGGCCATCTGCTAATCTACCATTCGCAGCACTGTCGTTAGACTAGGCCAACTGTCTGATTGTCCGACTGTGCTGGATAAACAAATCGCCACACACGTTCAGTATCGCCCAATAAAGCAAACAAAACGGAGGCAAGGTGAAGATAGAGAAGGAATGTACACAAAGCCAGCAGGAAATAGCAACGATAATCTATATGTTAAGGATATATAGTGAAAAAAAGAGATCATTTATATATGATGGTTGTACAATAATATTGAGTAAAATATTTAATCGGAAATAGAACATTAGAAGGAAAATTATTATAGACACCGTAATAGCATCATATCATCAGTTAAATATAAAACATGAAATAGGAATGAAAATTCTAGGATCGGGAAATAAACCATATTGTAGATATCAAAACAAACATAAGTACCTACAAATTTCACTCCTATGTCTTTAACTTTAGGGTAAACAATTGAATCGGAAATATAAAATTGGAAAGAACAACATAAATATTAAAAATATTGTTTCTATCATACTAAAATTCACTATAATATATTTAGCATTGAGTGATAGATTAAATGGGAGTTCCATTAATAAGATTGTAAAAGTATAGAAATAATATCGGTACAAATTCCACTCATAAATTTATACTCGTTACTCTTACAGTAAAAGGGTACCTATACTACATTTGTTGGAAATATCAATATCTATCTTCCTTTCAAAAATTGTTCAAATCGGACCATCCATGAAAAAGTGATAAGCTAATAAAGAAATGAGCGCTAGGTGGCGCCGTTGCGGGCTGTGCAATAGTGAACAGCCGCTTTGCTGCATATCACCATCTCTCTCGCACCCCCCTTGGCTGAGTAACGGGTATTTGATAGTTGTTTTCTCTTGCTTTACGACTAATTTCAAACTTTTCCTAAACTGTTAAATGTCGAACCTTTATATGACTTACCCGGCGCATTGCCATTTGCGGTGACGCCACCATTGAAGGCGGGATTATCCTGTCCACCACCTGGTCCTTCGCCCGCTTTCCACTTGTCCCGATTGTCGATGAGAAACTGTTGTATCGTCACGGGTCCCTCGTAGAAGTGCTTATCACCGAAGGTCACATCCGTGGAGTTGGTTAGCGCAATGCTACCGATTCCCTGGGTTGCTCCGCCCGCCGGAGAAGTGGGCGTGGCCAGGGCCAGATTGCCATTCAATATCTGCTTGGCAACGACCCCAGCTTCTAGGGGATTTGGAGGTGGGACTTCCGCCTGACCCGGCGCCACCTGACGACTGATCACCGTTAGACCCTGGTTAAGGTCGCGCAGGTGGGAACTGTTGGGCGGGTAGGTGACCTGGTGACCCAGCTTCTGCACCGTATAATCCTCGGCATCGCCCTCCGAGTCACTATCAATACAACTGGAGTCGATGGCATTCTCATCGATGGACACAATGGAAATGGTTGTACTTCGTATAGAAACCGTCGGCGATGATGAAGTCTTTCCAGCTTTTTCCTTTGTTATATTCACGGTGTGCTCGATGCTGATACGCTTGGGTTCCGTTTTCGCTTCCGATTTTGATTGGGAATGCCCTTCGTCCGTCCCCCGATCTTTGTTCTCCTTCTTCGGCCGGAAAGATGCCGCATTATCATTCAGTATAACACCCGAATCCGTGGACGAAGTACTACAGTTTTTTGGAGTCGACGGATCGATTTGTCTACGTTTCGTATTGGGACATTGGTTCATTTCCGTTTCATTGCTACTATGCATGTCGGGCATTCAGAACAGTCACGTAACCAGATATTTATTTCTTCTGGATCTCGGAACTTTTTGTGTTGGTCTTCCTATTTAGCAGATTGGGTAGAACATTTTCGCTGAGGGATTAGTTTTTTTTTATGGCAGATCGGCTGACTGGGCGCAGCTCTACGCAAACATCACATAATGAGCATCTGAAAATAGGAATACGTTTTTTTATTCCCGGTTAACTGGTTGATAATAAGCAAGTCAAACGATAAATTTCGAAGAAAGTCTTTGTTTGAAATGGGTTTAAATGGATCTAGTTGTGAACTTGCACTCTGAGTTCTTTGGATTTGTTGTATTAAATGTTATAGATAAAATGTTTTTATGAAGTTTTATTAACATATGTCTTGGCTTTCAGGGAAAGTAAATTATTTTAGGAGCATTGATAAACAAGTGGGTTTAATCTATAGTTTCACTTTATCAAAGCAAATGGATAAAACATTTTTTAACTTTTTTAAATTTTAACTTGTTATTAATTTTTTCACCACATTTAAAATTATTATACATTATTACTTCGCTTTAAATAAGTATTTTGTCGATATCACAGTTCATTAGAGCATTCTATTTGCCGGTTTCATTGTGCTTTATAAGTATAATTATCACTTTTAGTTCATGTATACATGATTGCTGATAAGCTCTATTGCTTGAGGGCCCGTCTATAGACTGTTTAAAAGGCGAATAAAAAGCCGTGCGGCTGCTGTGTAGCAAGTTTGTCTAATTGAGACTTACGAGTTTCGAATAGTGCTCGGATATATTCAGTTTATATTGCATACCCCTCAATACGATTCATAAAGTTTGTCAATACGCTCTCACGAAAGCAAGGCTTATGCAAATTAGCTATAATCATTGACGTAGTAAATTTACTTAAGTGGATTCCGAGAAATACGAAGCACAAGACACATTGCTACTAGCTGCAAGCTACAAGGGGTACTATATATACTTAATTTTGGATATTCGAAAGTCTCAAGTGTGACGTCTTCAAACGGTTTAAAGGTCATCATGGACTTATCGCATGGAAGATACTAAAGTTCATCAAAAGGTGTGTCAAATGCAAGACAGTAACTCTCTTTTATAGAGTTCTAAGAATTCTGATAAACCCGAAAGAATATCGAATGGGAAATGGAATGGGGGCTCGAGGGATCCGTCGACTATATACATATGTTAGTACCGATGTGCTAGAGTTGGCACAGAGCGCGCTTTTGAGATAACACGGAATGGAATATGGAATACCGAATACCATATACCATATAACGAACAACGACAACGGCTACAAATGAGGAACGGAATGGCAGTTCGAGTTTACTGAGCGCACCAATACATGGCCATTTGAGCGGCGGCCATTGTCACTAACACACACACACACACACACACTGAGCGTTATAATATGGGTATCTCTTTGTTGTTTGTAGGGCTCTGTCGTCTGGAGAATCGATAATAATTAACAACTCTGTTGTTTTACGTGTTTTTCAAAATTATCATTAAATATGGCCTATGTGCAAATTAATTGATTTTTGATCGGTGTTTCGATAGCTTGGTTTTCCAACTATAATTTCGATTTCTTTTGGAATTTCAAAAGGGTAATTAACATTCCATGGAAAATTAACGTTTTGTAAACAGCATTCCCTGAAATAGAACTAGTTTTCATTTAAGCACAGATTTAATTGATCAATTATTTGTAATTTGTTGACACAATTTTGGGTGCTTTAACCGTATAAAATTTGGGGTTTTTGAGGTGTGTAATACTCTGTATACATATATATATTTTGCATTTTTTACGCACTTCCAATTGCCGACAAAACCGATGCAGCACGTAAATATTTGAGCGTCTATACTATATAAAAAACTTGTAAGTTCAACTTTTTTATATTTTTATTTATTTTTCGCGCCAATTCCGAATGGTTGAGCAGCGGCGCGTTCGAGTGACTCTGATCAACTGAGCGGCGATCAAATCGCGGAGGCCTGAAAAGCTGGAGCGTCTAAAATATCGCCATGCGGGAGCGTGTGCGAAAGAGAGAGAGACCGGAGCGATGAGAAAATAGAGAGGGACAGGGAGAGCGGTCTGGTCGGATTTTTATTATTTAACCAAAGCGGTTTGATTTGAGTCTGATTTTGAGGCAGTCCAACTCGTTGCAAATTAGCATTTTAATAAATGCTTTTTGAAAAGATTTTCATAGATCGACTGGAAAACCTTGTCCTAAAAAATTACAAAAAATCCAAGTGGATGCATTTAATCAATAAAAAATATAAAGACAAATAGGACATTCTTATAGATAGTACAAAAATTATCTTTAAATTTCATTTTCAAGTTCTATCGTCACAATATTATGTAAGAACCGATTTCCTTCTGTTAAAATAAATTTTAAAACAAGTTACTAAGCAGCTTTAAACCACTTTTACCCGATCGAAACGGGTTTTGTAACGGAAAGTAACTGATCCGAAGAATCAAAAAGAATTCCGATAACTGCATTTTCAACCTGCATTTTCGGTTTTTCCGTGCGTCACCAAGTTGAGGAACCTGTTCTCGGTTTTGGGTTTTTTTAATATCTTCCAGATATTAGTCAAATTTATAATGATACTTCTAGCGTCGCCCCGTGTCTGGAGATCGGACTCTCCAGCTCCCTGCCCACCTGACGATGAGTGTTTGTTTTTGTTTAGTTGCTTAGTCGTCCACACCACATCGAAATCGACATCCATACAGACACATAGGCTTATACGTATTATATATTATTTTTTATTTGTTCAACCAATAAACAACACAAATCTCCGGCTCTCTCCCGGCTCCGAGCACTTTTGGTACAGACAGTGCAGTGTGGGCAAAAATTTGAACATTTTAAATTGCGCTACCATTTCCGAGAATTGTTTTGTTTGTGGCCCGCAATTGGGTTTTTGGCTATTTCACTATATAAATTCTCGGAATTTTCTCTCCCAACTCCCAGCTTGACCCATTGTAATTGCGTTGAAAAATATTTAATGTAATTATAGTGGTAGGCCGATCGTTGATAGTCTGAAAAGGGCACCGGGAAACTGTTGATCGTAAAGAGCTATCAATTCGCGAAACGAATTTCAAATACGCTTTTTTCCTGAAATTTTAATAATAACTGAACGAAAGCGTGACCAGTTTTAATCGTTAGAAAATATATACAGTTTCGGATTTCTGTTTCCATGTGTTTTTAAAGCACTGATAAGCTTTTAAAATTTATTAGTTGTTTGTATATGCAGTTCAAGTTCAAGCTTGAATATCATTTAATTATTTATGCCTTTTGTAGCCAGGCAATGTATTCCTTGTTGACCCATTTTTATTGCGAAAAAATGCCAGTAATTATTGTAAATCATTTCCAATGAAGCAGTTAATAATTTCCTTACATGAGCTGCAAAATCAATCACTATATCTATTTTTTGTATACCTACCTTTACACATTTTCTTCCCCTAATTATTATTAATTATACTACTTTCTTGGTTCCCTCTTCGCATTTATTATTTTTGTTTTTTGTTTTGTCTACACGTGCCGCAACTCTCGTCATTGTTTTGGTCAAAAATTCGTTCCGCAGAGTGGGTATAATTTATTTATCCCAAGGCGCTGTAGGTTAAATTAGTCAATGAATGTACGTCACTCTTTAAGCGGGTTGAACTGAAGATCAGTGATGATAAAGGGGTTAAAGTAGAAAGAAAGTATTATTTGTCGGCGAAGACGTCATAGTTTTGGGCCAACGTTTTGATTAATAACCGAATGTACGTCACTCCTTTGGGCTTTGAACTGAAGATCAAAGAGGATGGATCCAATTGGGAATATCCAATATATAAATACATTGAACTGAAGGTCAGTGATGATAAAGGGGTTAAGGTAGACGCCCCAGATTTTTGAGTATCGAAAGTATTATTTGTCGGTGAAGACGTCATAGTTTTGGGCCAACGTTTTGATTAATAAACGAATGTACGTCACTCCTTTGGGCTTTGAACTGAAGATCAAAGATGATGGATCCCACAATTGGGAATATCTAATATATAAATTCACATGGGTTGTTCGAAGCCATGCTGTAAAAAAAGTAATGTTATATTGTATACTCATTAAGTTAAAAACCAGATAAATGACAAAGGCAGTCACAGTAATCACAACATCGCCAATACAAGTGAACTGAAGCTACCGATAATGATGTTGTACTGGCGCACAAAGGCTGTCATATATTAATACACATAAAACCGATGAGTGTTAAGGCCCGTCTATAGAATAATGGTATGTATGGGGTACTGGTACTGGTACTGATAGGTTGACTGCGGCTTGGGAATTTCCAGCTTTTTGAGCGACAGTTCAACAAGCCGATCCAGAGAGAGAGTGAGAGATCAGTGCTCTATAAATAAACCGCCCGCTCCCAACCGGTTTGCTGTGTTTTCGAGCCAGCATAACCGATTAAAAGAAAGCCCGTTTCGCCTTAGTACAAGGTATTAAATATAATTTGTGCTTGGATACACTTAGGTGGTAAGAAGTCTGTAGCTATTGCTTGGCATCCCACGATTTCATGCCCAGTTCACTGCCACATGCCAGGGCACCGTCCATTCCGCAGCCGTAGAAGTGCGGCCATTTCCGGATTTCTTGATAGACGTAAGCACCCGGACTTCTGGTCGTCTTGGTCTGGAATATTTCGAATATTTAGCAGTGAAAACGGTTTCTTACCCTCTTATTTTACCTGATTTTGGGCCACCAATTTGTAGTCCACTTCGACATTTCTATTCGCGACTGCATGTGCCAACAGAAATTGGACACCTTCCAATTGTTTGGCAGAGGGCTTAAAACGGCCGTAGTCGCCCATAAAAGTAATCGCCAAAGTTTGGTTTGCATAGGTGTTGGCCCAGTCCCAGCCGCGGCCTACGTAGATATTGCCCTCCTCCGAAACCTGGTCGAAACAAATACGGAAATTTGACAATTTGCGTAAGCGGAAAGCAAAATGCCCAAAATGGCACGTGAACGTGCCGGGCACACAAATGCACGCGCCGGGATTTCTTTTTAATACACTTAAAAATAAATATTTAGAATTGTTACTTGTAGGATTTTGAAAGCATTTAAGAAAAAATATTACGATCAATAGCCAAATATGGTGTAAACTGACTCATGATGAAAACATTTAAGAAGTTTTAAAAGTAGTTATAAAGTATTTTTTAAACGCTAAAATAGGCAGATACCTATACCATTTTGGAAAAGAAATTTAAAAAATATATTGTTGCTATTAAAAAAAATATTTTTTTGAAAGAGAATTAAATGTATTTAATTTCCCTTCTATTTTTAGACTTTAACTGTATTTAATTAACTTAATTTCTTAATTTGAAGACATAAAAACACCCAAAAAACTCACATAAAAATTGGACTGTATGTCTGGCAGACCCTTTTCGGCAATTGCGGAATCCTGGATGGTTCGCATCTTGATGGAGCACTTGTAGATGTTCTCGCAGGGCAGCGATTGGACTCCAATGTGGGTGATCAGGACGTAGGGAATGGGTCGCTTAAGGGGAATGGTCAGGGCAGGCGTGGTCTTGGCGGCTCCCCACTGCTCCCTGTCGATGACCAGATGGCCGTTTCCTAGATTGGGAACTGAGAATTTGGTGAATTGGCTATGGGGACAATCCGAGTCCCGTGCACTTACACGTGTCGTGGTCGTAGTTGTTGCCAAAGTAGATGGCCTTGTTGCTGGGCAACTCCGCCCGGGGTCTATTGAGCTCCACGTAGAGCACTACCAAGCCGGTGGCCAGAACCAAAAAGATCAGCGTGATCAACAAGATGGTATTCCGGGTGAGCCGTTTTGATGGCAATTTATCACGACTACGATTGCCGTTGCCATTAGCATGGTTGCTGTTGATGCCTGAATTAGCGAAAGTCAGTCAATTAGCATTTCGTCTACAAAGCGCACAAAGATGGTATAATAAAAAAAACTTAAAGATTTGCCTAACAAAAGTCTTGGATGTTTTTTTTTGTTTTGGGGTCTTATGGTATGTTAGTCTTACGTATCAGTTTCTTGATATTTTGTTTGTTGTTTAAATTAACCTTTTTGTTGTAGTTCTCAAGATATTATGTTTGGTGTATTTTTAAAAAGAACAATTAAACGTATTATATATCATATATGATTCTATTCCGTGTATTGATAATATTATATATTCTTATTCCGTCAGATTTTATTGTTAACGTTTAATGTTCATTGGAAATGAATAATCGTAAAGACAACAAAACTGTAAAACCCGTGATTCATAATACTTCCTATATATTTTCTGGAGTTTTCCCTACCTATCTACCTATCATCCAATCAGTCTTCTATATATCTAAACCCAAAAACTATTTATCATTTTCTTTCCGTGTACTTAAAAAAACACCCTTGATAGCTGATACTAAATATAATTTTCGCAGTAGAAAGTGATATATTAAGTGATGATATTTTTTGCATATACTTGATGAGTCCCGGGAGTGTGATTGTTGGGTAAAACTGGGTTCCGGGGTACGTCTTCTGCGTGCCGTGCGCTCCGAGTGAACTTTCATTAGCAGTTTCATGGCACTTCGTTCCACGGTAGTGGGGACACTTAGCTTATCACAACGTTTTTGGTACTCGGCACAGGCACAGGCCAGGGCATTATAGGCGATTTCTTTTATGAGTAATTGCCCGCTGAATCATCGGAATTATCACAGTGGCAAGGGCTGCACAAATACTGGGTACAGCTGGGGTCTGGATATTAATTGTTTTACAATGGATTTGACCGATAATCGGACAGCGGAGTGCCACTGGTACCGCCACCGCACCTGAACCCGTCGCACAAACAACTGAAATGCGGCGCGGCTGTCGATGGAACAGAAACAGAAACAGAAATACGAATGCCAAAAGCGCGCTGGAACGACAGCCATCTCGCTCTACCCTTGGTTGACATGTTTTGTGTTTGTGTTTGCGTGCAGAAAGGCG